CACCAGATCTTAATGGAACAAATGAATTTAAACGTCAAACCATCTAAATCTACTCTTTTGCTTTAGTTCTTAATTCTATGTCTCTTGTTTGATTTTCTTGAATATTTATGAACGCTCTCAAATTTCCCTTCAAATCGTTTTCTTCGATCTTCCGTAGCGTCTTAAGCTCAAGCCCAAAGCCTGAATTCTACTTTTTCATCTGGTGTTGGACAGTGGTATTAAAGTAATATAAGTTTCCTCCTGCTGCTTCTCCTCATGCTGCTCCTCCTCTGGCTGCTCCTCCTGCTGCTCCTCCTCATGCTGCTCCTCCTCATGCTGCTCCTCCTCGGCTGCTCCTCATTGTGCTCCTCCTCCTCCGGCTGCTCCTCCTCCTCTGCTCCTCCTCATGCTGCTCCTCCTCCGGCTGCTCCTCATTGCTCCTCCTCCTCCAACGGCTCCTCCTCCGGCTGCTCCTTATTCTGCTCCTCCTCCGCCGCTCTCCTCTCCTTCTCCGCCTCCTCCTGGCTCCTCCTGCATCATTCTGCTCCTCCTCCTCCAACGGCTCCTCCTCATCCTGCTCCTCCCGCATAAGGAGGAGCAGCCGGAGGAGGAGCAGCATGAGGCAGGAGAGAGGGATGAGGAGGAGCAGAAGGAGAGAAGCGGAGGAGCAGAGGAGGAGGAGGAGGAGGAGCAGCATGAGGAGGAGCCGCGCCGGAGGAGGCAGAGGAGCATCCGGGAGGAGGAGCAGCGAAGAAGAGAGGAGCAGCAAGGAGGCAGCAGGAGGAGGAGCAGCAGGAGGAGGAGCTGCAGAAGGAGGAGCAGCAGGAGGAGGAGCAGCAAGAGGAGAGAGCAAGAGGAGGAGCAGCAAGAGGAGGAGCAGCAGTAGGGATGAGCAGCATGAAGAGGAGCAGCTGGAGGATGTGCAGCAGGAGGAAACATATATTACTTTAAAACCACTGTCCAACACCAGATGAAAAGTAGAATTCAGGCTTTAGGCTTCAGCAACGGGAGATCGAAGGGAAATTTGTGTGTGTGATTATGGCAAAGCCTCGAGGGAGAGATGTCTTCGTGGAAGACTTTCTAAGGAAAATTCATTTTGCTTTATTAGACGCAGTTTTTCTATCCATTTAAAATGCCGCATGAATTTCTTTCCTGATTAAAATTGGAGGCAATTTTACCTTGGGTAAAATAACACAGGTATTATCTAGTTTAAATAAACGCATCTAAACTTTTTGCTCAATCATATTAACTGAAAGAATGAAATAATGAATCCTCTTGCCGGGAAGTTTAAAAAAAATATATTTAACTATCTTCTCCGATTTATCTTATCAGCTTCTATAAAGTGGACTTAAAAAAAGAGTAAATACTTATCTTAATGCTTCATAAGCAATTATTTTGTTACACGCTGTCTTATTTCGACTAAAAAACAATTTACTTTCTATTTTAAACTCTTCATGTATGACTTAGGATACAAAAATTGCATTGTTTTTGTTAGATTGTTAACGTGAGCTAAGTGTTACCAAAACCCACGACATTCATCAGGGCAAGAGTCAAATATGCTTGTTGTCGACAAGAGACTTGCGCACCATGTATGTGACTACCCGACTTCAGCTCACCCCCGAATTTTGAAAGATAGCCCCCGGGAGGGGCGGAAGAGTCCGAGCGTCTCACAGCGAAATTTATTGTGGTAATGAAGTGCAGGATTGCGCCTGTCGTTGGCAAGAGCATTGAGCAGCACAGAGGTGACAGTCCGACCTTAGCTCAGTTCCGCCCCCAATTTTGATGGAGAGCATCCAGAGGAGACCGGTCCTAAGATCTCCCACCACTATCCTCCTACCACCAACCCATCGGGAGGACTTTCGGCTCGGCGCATATTTAGAGTGCTCCCATGCCGCACAGACACTTTACCACTGTCCTGGTTGGGCGGTACCAAAAGTTGCATTAATAGTAAATAGGAATATATCTGGAGAAATCCAAGTTATAATTAGGGGCGAAGCGTTGTAATGAACTGTGAATAATTTAGATTCATTTATTTTCAGAACTCCCTTCCAAAATGCAGAATACAGAATCTACTGCAATAAGTAATTAATGTGGACTTACTGCGTTTCGCTGTGGAACACACTGATTTGCGAATGGAAAGAGTTGTGGAGAACCCCGGCACACATATAGAACATCTATAGAATGTCTTGTTGCTCTGCAGCGCCACCTATCGGCAACTTCTTGTACTACTTTTTTTGTTTAATAAATCTCGAGCGCATGATCTGAAGTGTCTGTTTTTAAAATTTCATCACATTATGACCCATACAACACTCTGCACAGGCCTCTGAGTTGGAGAAGTTTAATTTGGATAACCCTGTACTTACTTCGTTAGACAGAGCCAGAGATTCTACTCTCTCTCTAAGCTATTTTTACGAGGCCCTTGATAGCTTTGCCATTAGTTAGCGTTAAGGAGCTAACTCTAGTAGAATCTTGATAGCTTTGGCTTATCCTTTTAGTTAAGTCTTAGTTCTTAGCATTTCTGAGTTCAAGCTTAAGTGGAGGCTTCATTGTAAATCCAAGAAGGAGTCGTGTGTTAAATTTATTTTGAATAATAAAGGGTACGTTTACTTTTCTATCTTTTTGAACTAAGCGATTATTACCAGTTCTTAAGGTTCCTCATTTTTACGGGGGTTGTAAATTAAATACTGGCAATTTAACCTAAAAACTCGCAGAAGGGCGGGCATGCGTAAATAGATTATTGGAACGGTGAGGTGGCACTGTTGTTGATATGCAGAGTGCAAAAAACAGTCGATCTGCTTAGAAGGATAGTTGTTGTGTGGCGTTAAAGTGAGGAGTTTCGTTTCCATCGCTCTAAATTCAATAGGTGATCAGCGGTCGTTGCTTAAAATCGAGGTTGCCTGTGGCAAAAATGCAACAGATTGCTGTGGCACAAGTGCTTTACCGTATAGGGCAGTAGCACGATGGATTGAAGCATTTCGTTCGGGTCGGAATGAGACTGCGGATTTGCAACGCACAGGTCGGCCCTCCTTTCCTCAACAGCAGATTGACATCCTGAGCGGTCTCCTTACTGTCCGAGACCACAGACTGTCCATGGACTGTCCGAGAATTATCCTTAGAGGTTGGTCTGAGTCATCAAAAGGTGTGTCGCATAATGAAGATAGCCGGACACAGCACCATCTGCGTCCGGCTATGCGGCGCAAACGTCCACGTTTATGGCACAACAATCTCCCTATCGTATTGCATGACAACGCTCGTTGCCTTGTCGCAAACAATGTCACTCTCCTTTTGCGATGGTGGCAGCGAGAAATCCTGGAACACCCTCCCTACTCACCCGACATGAGTCCTTGTGACTTCGATCTGTTTCCGAAGTTGAAGGAACCCCTTCGAGGACACCGATTTTATGACGTTTCATCTGTACTCCACACAGTTGCCATGTCGCAAACAATGTCACTCTCCTTTTGCGATGGTGGCAGCGAGAAATCCTGGAACACCCTCTCTATTCACCCGACATGAGTCCTTGTGACTTCGATCTGTTTCCGAAGTTGAAGGAACCCCTTCGAGGACACCGATTTTATGACGTTTCATCTGTACTCCACACAGTTGCCATGTCGCAAACAATGTCACTCTCCTTCTGCGATGGTGGCAGCGAGAAATCCTGGAACACCCTCCCTACTCACCCGACATGAGTCCTTGTGACTTCGATCTGTTTCCGAAGTTGAAGGAACCCCTTCGAGGACACCGATTTTATGACGTTTCATCTGTACTCCACACAGTTGCCATGTCGCAAACAATGTCACTCTCCTTCTGCGATGGTGGCAGCGAGAAATCCTGGAACACCCTCCCTACTCACCCGACATGAGTCCTTGTGACTTCGATCTGTTTCCGAAGTTGAAGGAACCCCTTCGAGGACACCGATTTTATGACGTTTCATCTGTACTCCACAGAGTTGCCATGTCGCAAACAATGTCACTCTCCTTCTGCGATGGTGGCAGCGAGAAATCCTGGAACACCCTCTTTACTCACCCGTCATGAGTCCTTGTGACTTCGATCTGTTTCCGAAGTTGAAGGAACCCCTCCGAGGTCACCGATTTTATGACGTATCATCTGTACTCCAGACAGTTGCCATGTCGCAAACAATGTCACTCTCCTTTTGCGATTGTGGCAGCGGGAAATCCTGGAACACCCTCTCTACTCACCCGACATGAATCCTTGTGACTTCGATCTGTTTCCGAAGTTGAAGGAACCCCTCCGAGGTCACCGATTTTATGACGTTTCATCTGTACTCCAGACAGTTGCCATGTCGCAAACAATGTCACTCTCCTTTTGCGACGGTGGCAGCGAGAAATCCTGGAACACCCTCCCTACTCACGACATGAGTCCTTGTGACTTCTGTCTGTTTCCGAAGTTGAAGGAACCCCTCCGAGGTCACCGATTTTATGACGTTTCATCTGTACTCCAGACAGTTGCCATGTCGCAAACAATGTCACTCTCCTTTTGCGATGGTGGCAGCGGGAAATCCTGGAACACCCTCCCTACTCACCCGACATGAGTCCTTGTGCCTTCGATCTGTTTCCGAAGTTGAAGGAACCCCTCCGAGGTCACCGAGTTTAAGACGTTTCATCTGTACTCCACACAGTATGGCGCTCGGCCGCTCACATCAACAATCAACACTTGCCACTGGTCTACAACGGCTTCCCGACATTTGGCAAAAGGTTATAAGCTTTGCTGGTGATTACATAGAAGGAATGTAATGCAATTGTACTTGTAAGTTCATTAAAAATTTATTTATACCTATGTTACCATTATTTAATTTACAGCTCTCGTAGCTGTAAATTAAAGGTTGGAATCTTACAACATTATACAATAAATACTATAATTTACATTTAATTTCATTAAAATGATTTCTATATATACAAAATTCCTAACACTGTTTTTTTGTTTCTAATTATCAGTACTACTGAAGATTTAAAATAGGGGTTAAGAATTAAATGAAAAATAATAAAAGAGTTTTGTAATTTCAGTACAAATATGGTGACAAAGAGAAGCTTGATGGACGAAGGTTTTCTATCAAAGATTACACATACTGGAATCAACTGGCACAAGATTATGATTCCCTTCAGCAGTCCAAAGAACTAGAACGAGATATTCTGGAGAAGCAAATGGATATGTAAGAGTTAAAATTAAATATAACACAAAAAATTTCCTGCTGATTTTAGAATATTTGAAACATTTTCATAATTATTATTATTACTGAAATTGTTTAAGAAATTTTGAGCCTGAATATGCTATCTAATAATGCTTATCTAAATTATTAGGGCATAAATGTATTATATATATATATATATGTGATGTACCAGCTTTAAGTTAGTCTTAAATTATCAGACGATAAGTTTAAAAAAAAAACAGGATCCATTTATTATTATTCAGGAGAAATAGCAGTTATATCAGTCATATTTCTGGAGTAAATAAAAAAAACTACTAATAACTTTTTGTATGAAGTTTACTGCATCGTGACATTTAAGAAAAAGCCCCGATATTCCTTTTGCGAGTCCTTTTATAGCCTCTGGAAAGGCGGAGCTTCCAAGAAATGACGTCAGCCTCGTCAGCGAATCCAGTTCGCTTTAAATATTTCCAGAACATTCTATAACTGTAAGTGTAGAAAAGGCGGGAAAAACAATTTGACTACGGGGCTGTGGATTTAATTCCACGTACTTTCAAATAAGAGACCGTCGCCATTAAAAATGAAAAGAACATACAGTTAGAATTTTAAGTGTATTCTTGACTATGGAAATTTTATTGTTACATATATATAAAGTAAGAAATTTAGACCTAATTTTTCACAAAGACAAAAAAAAAATGAAATTCATTAAGGTACAAGATTCTAATTAGAATTTACTTTATTTTTGGGGAGGGGCCAGAATTTTCTAATGAACTATTATACTTAAAATACATTGAAATGGTTCATCAGCTAATTCTGGATACAGAAAAGAAAGGATTTTTGTGGAGGAGAGATTTCAATTGATTTCGATGTACCTCCTCGTGGTGAAGTGGCATTGAAGTTGATTGAATTCCTCTTCTGTTATGTTCGTTTTTCTTTACATTTCATTAATTTTTTTAATTAGAATATAGCAAGTTTGAAACGTTTTGGTTTTAAAATTTTTAAAAAAATTTGTATTGCATTTATAGGTTTATTTGAAATATATTAATTATGGAATTTCAATTTTTGGTCTTTGTGAAAAATTAGTTCTAAATTTCTTACTTTATGCCTTTACTGATAAATTTTTAGCATGTTAGTGCTCGAAAATACTAGTCATGTTTATATTTTGTTTATAAAAATTGTTTTGTAATTATATAAGTAGAAAGTAGTAAATTAAAAAATTGGGAGACCTAGTTGGTCAAAAATTGCTCGTTGAACTGCAAATTTTTAAATAGATTGAAAAGAAAAGGAAAGTTAAAAATTAGCTAAAGCCTTAAACAACATTTGATGCAGCTAATTCCTAAGTTGACATGTAACACCAAGTTAAAACAATTACATGAAACGAAAGCAGTTTAATTTTATGCTAAAAAAACCTACTAAAAATACTACAAAATTTTAAAAAAACCTATATAACAAAATCAAAATTGTTTCGCTAAAAAAACTTACTGAAAATACTAAAAATTATATATAACCTATACAACAAAATCGAAATTGGTTCGATTTAAAAAAAAAACCTAAACATTTTACAAAAAACTGAGAAATTTTATGCAAAAAATAAAAATATATGGTCAATTCAGTTTGTTCAAGGTTTCAGACAGATCTTATCAAGGGAAAAGTGCCTGAAATCTCCAACCAAGCTGATGACGCAGGCACTTTTCGTGTAACAAAATCATTGAGACTGAAAACGGTTATTCTATTTATAAAATATATATAAATAAATAGAATAACCGTATTATAAATAAAACAGTTATTCTATTTATAAAATTATATATACGCGTGTGTGTGTGTGATGTACCAGCTTCTGTCCGGAATAAATACTAGATTGGTGAAGAATCATAGATGTAGTCGTAGATGTAATTATCAGACGGTAAGTTTAAAAAACAGGATCCATTTATTATTGATCAGGAGAAATAGCAGTTACATCAATCATATTTCCGGAGTAAATAAAAAAGAATTACTAATAACTTTTTGTATGAAGTTTACTGCATCGCGACATTTAAGAAAAAGTCCCCGATATTCCTTTGCGAGTCCTTTTATAGCCTCTGGAAAGGCGGAGCTTCAAAGAAATGACGTCAGCCTCGTCAGCCCTTCCAGTTCGCTTTAAATATATCCAGAACATTCTATAACCGTACGTGTAAAAAAGGCGGGAAAAACAACTTGACTACGGGGCTGTGGATTTAATTCCACGTACTTTCAAATAAGAGACCGTCGCCATTAAAAATGAAAAGAACATACAGTTAGAATTTTAAGTGTATTTTTGACTATGGAATTTTATTGATATATATATATATATATATATATATATATCGATAATTTCCAACTTAAAATAAACTTGATAACACTTTTTTTTTCCCTACAGGATTCATAGTCTAATGGAAGATTTCGTATATCAGAAACAAACGATGCAAAGCCTGAAGAGCTCTGTCAGAGAATTAGAAAGACTGATGAATTATTCTCACGTCCATTTAGAAAACATCAGACATCTAACAAATAGAGATAATTCTGGTAAAAGTAAAACACATTCAGCAAATATCGTTTTCTAAAATTTCGCTTTTTCTCAGGAAACAAGTATTTTGTTTTGAGATTTTTTATTCCTAATAAAGATATTTTTTAAAGTTTTTAATCTAAATTTCAGTGGTGACATCGTGGGATAATCTGACAGAATCCGGCAGTCGAGGACCCCTGCCAGTCATGAATATCCTTTCCCGCAGATCTCCGTATCCAGGAACAAGAGTTCAAAGATTTCCAGTGCCGGACAAATACGTTCCTTGGGAAGTAATGTGGATTGCCTACGACCCTGTGGCATTTTCACAGCAACGCCAAGATTTCCCAGTCATATTACAAGCCTATGTTGACGAGGATATTTTACTGTTAGTACGAAATCATTATCTATGAATTACGCATTTAAATGTTTATCTTAATAGTTATATTGTAAATTAGGATTTTATTGCGCCTAATTTTTTTTTTCTTGAATTTATGTTGTATTATTACGTTCAGATATTCTCAGCTGTACGAATATTTGCTTAGAATTACTTCGTTTAAATGAAGGCCTAAATTAATATCTTACATTTTCTGTTAACAAAACCCATCTAAAGAGAGTGTCTACTTTCATGAAGAAATCTAATGTGTACACCACATGACTTCCTTATACGGAATGTTAAATTATACGCAGTTTTTCCTGAATTTTATTTAAAGTGATTTCCTCGAATTTCATTAGAGATATGAATTTCTTATTCAATAAATTCAGTTCTCAATTCTCGGCAAGGCAAAAATGCATAAAAACTCAAAATATCTTCATTAAAAATTTACAGATATAGAAAAACGTAAAATACCAAATACTGTTAAAATAACTTTTACAATTAAAATTGCAAATTCTACGCTAGAACAAGCAATTCGGCCAGCAGACAAAAAGTTCGGTGCAGAAAACTAAAAGTTTCCTTTTGGTCCCACTCGGCAAAAAGACACTGAACGTGCAAAAAGAATTAATTCACTAGTCTGCTAAGTTTCAGATGTCAACAAAAATAGCTGCTACGGTAAAATGTTAGGCTTAGCCGCACTTAAACAACTTTTAAATTGCTGATAGATCAACAACTATTTCTTGCAGATTAACTAAAGGCATAAAATCTTTAACCGGAAGATAATAATAACATAATTCAATCATTTTTAAAGCAAAAAAATGCACAATTCACCAAACATATAAGAAAGAAGAAAAAAAAAAAAAAAAAAAAAAAGCTCACCAAGCCGAGTAACAGAGTGGGTGTAATGTGGTTTGTTCCAATTCACCACCAAATTATATATATATATATGATCAATGACAATGATTACATGTTTTTAATTTTTCCTTTTACAATTGAAATTTTATTCTTCATGATGATTTAACTCCAGTCCCCGTTAAACATTAACATTTTGCTTTCATATTACTTCCGAACATCTTTCAAATATAACTTACCATTATGGATTCACTCTTTTAAATAATTCTACTTTAATTTAACTTAGGATATAATATAATCAATTAATCAATATTGTTAGGAAATAAATTATATACATATGTACATTTGGTGGTGAATTGGAGGTGTATATATATAAATTATATAATATATATGTATATATACATTTGGTGGTGAATTGTAGGTGTGTATGTATATATATATATATACATCTGGTGGTAATTGGAGGTGTAGAACTACATGTTATAGCATATATATTACATACATTATATACAAAACTTCAACGCTCTGAGTCTACTCGTTTTTGAGTTATGTGAGATACATACATACGTACGCATGTACGTACAGACACCACGAAAAAATCACTTCTGAATACATTTTAAATCAGTTTTATAATTGGTTTGGTTAAAAACAGTCCTTTATTCTGTCCTTACGTAGAGATGTGCGTACGCACGTACGTACATACGTTCGTACAGACGCCACGAAAAATTCTCTTCAGAATTAATTTTAAAGCAGTTTTATAACTTTTTTGAAAGAAAAGAGTATTTTATTCTGTCCTTACGTACACATATCACGCAAAAACATCGTTAAATTGCATTCGAAAGCGGTCAAAATGGATATTTTCCTTGAAATGTGATACCTGAAATTTTTCGCGATTACAATACTTCTTTTACTTCGTACAAAGAAGTAAAATGGAAGGAAACAAAAATATCATTCGGAGCTTGTTTCGTGTAATTATTGCAGAAAAACAAAACTTTAACTGTGAAACAATACTCTGGTCTAAGACACTTTTGCAGAACATTTTCATTCCTTAAGAAGAAATATACATATAGCAGAAAAATACTGTCAGATAGATTAAAATTCAAATATACCGTTGTATTTTGCATCCTTAACTTTTGCAATTAGGGACAAATAAAACGCATCGCATTCAGATCTAAGGTCAAACTGCAGAACAATAAATAAGATTTCCATCTTACTCTTAAACCATAAAAGTTTGTATTTCCCTGTAGCAGCAATCGAAAATTAAGCTTAGCGCTCAGCTACCACCTCTAACTTAGCCAGTAGGTCTGCTGTTTTAATAACTCATAGAAGTGTGCTATGTTATATTCATTTACGGTAAAATCATATTTTTATTTTCTTAATATTTAAGGTAATATTAGTAAATAATGGCAATTGATAATTATTTTTTGCAGATTATTATCAAAGTGTTATTAGATTTAAGATGTTGATAATGAAAATTAAGGGTTAATTTTAACACAGGCTTCGAGAAAAGCATGGTCCACAGCAGGCAGTTCCTGTGTACTCTTGGAACAGCGTATCTGTGAATCCTGCAGGCATTGGACTCGATAGGCAATCTTGGATCGTAGGAAAAGACGGCTCTCCTCTTGTTTATAAGCTGAACAGCGAAGGCGTTCCTCAGTAAGTTCATCTCCGATCAGAATGAACACCCAACAAAAGTTCTTTTGTATTAACTTATGCAAAGATGGTTAGCGTTGCTGACTGCCGTGTCGAAAATCCCGGGTTCGAATCCCGGCATAGAGGCACCTAGATTTGCGGAGAGATGAAAGTCCTCTCGAGAGGTTGATGGTAGGGGAAGAGGAGGTAAGAATTGTAAGAATTGGAGGCTCTCTTCAGCCCACCTGGCACAAGTGTCCCCATAGCTCAAAAGAAGGGGCCCCGTATCTCCACAAACGAGGGCAGCCAGTAACCCAGCCACCCCCAAACAACAAACAAAAATACTAAATCAAAACTAAATAAGCACATCTAACACAAAATTACAGACCAACAAACAAACAAAAAAATCCATAAACACAAATTCACAACACAGAACACCACAGATATCCAAAACACAAAATTCAATTTTAACAGAAGATTCCTACTAGCGCCCTATTTTCATTCATAAACTTCATTAGAGCAATAGAATATGATTTAAAAACTTAAAAATTAATGACACATTAAAATCAGTAATGTTAAAAATCTGGGGAAGAGGAGGTGTGAGACCCTCGGACCCGTGCCCCCCCGGGGTACTCTTCATTAAAATTGGTGTGTTGGTGTATATAATTATGGCAAAGTACACGAGGGCTATCTGCCTAAGAGGAGGGATGCCTTCGTGGAGGACTTTCTAAGGGAATTTCTAAGGGAAGCTGGCTCGTATACACGTTACACATGGGGAAAACCACGAAAACGCCCATGCAGCCAGCCCGTTCGCGGGATTCGAACCTCGGACCGAACTACCAGTGTTCAGCGACGTTACCACTCGGCCACTGGTGGGCCCATCTAAAATTTACCAAACCGCAACTCAGACGTTAAATGTTAAAAAGACAAGAAATCATGAGTCGTAATTTGGACTCTTTTAACGAAAAGAAAATAGTCTGCGAGTAATAAGTTCTCAAGTAACTGAAAATATTATAAGTTATAATTATAAGTTCAAGACTCTTTCGAATTAAATGCTAAATAAATTAATTTCCCCCTTTTTTTCCCCTCCCAAGAGTGTCTTTTCTGGTTCATTCAACAATGGCTATAATTCAGATGAAGTAATAGCGAAGAACCGACATCAGCATTAACAAAACTCTTATTTCTCCCTTTAATCAGCTTTATCAGCTAGATTTCTCAACGTTCATCTTAGACAAGGAGTTACGTATCCTACAATTTAAAAATAATATTTCAAAATTTTTGCAATTTTACCCAGAAGTATTCTTCCTGACTTCCACCTTGGGATAATCACAGCTGGATAATTCAATTCGGATTCACTTAATACGCATAGCTTTTACAATGTCTCTTAAAAATAAAAGGTGATTTCTGTTATCATATGCGCGTTTAATGAAGTTGAGCTTTTAATAGAAATTTCATTTTTTCAATGTCTAATTTCGATATACTCATTTAAAGCAACGGTTCTGAACGGGTCGCGCGCAAGACCAAAATAGATGGTCCGCAAAGAAACAAAATATTTTTAAGATATTAAATTAAAAATATTCGTGAAGGAAAAAGAACACTTGATAAAAATTTCTTAACTGAAGATTTTAAAAAAAATCTGATATGTACACTACATGACTTCCTTGTACGGAATATTAAATTATACGCATTTTTTCTTGCATTTCATTTAAACTTATTGGATTGAATAAAATCTACTTCGCCGACAGCGCATAAACCACAACAGAATAAATGCATTCTTTAAAATTCACTCTAGTATTTGTTTATCATAGCGACACTCTGGCGCTAGATTCACTTAACAGTATTATATTTCGTTCATAATGTAATTCAGAATGCACAAAATTCATATCATTTAAAGAATTATCTGATCGTTGTCACATGTTCTACTCAAATACTATAAAAGAAAACAAAAAAGAAACAGTTTTTCACAGACGATTGAGTATTTCTCATAATTATTTCAGTTCTCACTTCGCGACAAAGCAAAAATACATAAAAACTCCAAATATATGTATCCATAATTACGAAGTAAATCTTAAACACTTATTTCCTCGAAAAAATTCCAGAAAGGATTAAGCATGATTTAATTCGCAATAATAAATGAATGCGTTATCTTTGTTGTTGCGAAGCTAAGTTTCTCTAGATTGGCAACAAATTCACTAGTCCACTAGTTTCAACTTTAAACAATCAATGGCCGCCATCAAAAAAATTATTAGGCTTAGCGGCACTTAAACAGCTTTAAAATTGTTGATAATTCTAAAAACATTGCATTACGAAGTAAAAAGACAGATTTACTAAAGGCATAAAAACCTTAACCGGAAAAATAAGAACAACATAAATCAATCATTTTTAAAGCAAAAAATGTACAATTTACAAACATATAAGAGTAAAGAAACTGAGATTACTGAGCCGGGTAACTGAGTGGATATATATATACGATGTTTGGTGCCGCCGATTGCAACCAAAATACGAGGTGCACATCTACATGTTATAGCAGTCCTATATACAAAATTTAAACGTTCTGAGGCTACTCGTTTTTGAGTTATGCGAGATACGCACGTACGTACATACATTCGTACAGACGCCACGAAAAATTATCTCCAGAATTCATTTTAAAACAGTTTTATAATTTTTTTGGAGGAAACGAGTCTTTTATTCTGTCCTTACGTACAGATATCACGCAAAAACATCGTTAAATTGCATTCGATAGCGGTCAAAATGAATATTTTCGTTGAAATATGCTGCCTGAAACGTTTCGCGATTACAATACTTCCTTTTTTACTTCGTACAAGGAAGTAAAGACACTCGTTAACATTTGGTTGACCCAAAAGAAAATCATTTAAAGGCATTTCAAATAAAAGGATTAAATTTTTATTGTCTTTTTTGCATAACCTCTTTGTGTGGACAAGGATTTTCCCTCATGTTATAACAGGGTTATTCAAAAAGAAAGAGCAGATTTCAAACATTTATTTCTTCCAAAGTACAAAAGATAGAAACATCATTCTAACGTTAATGGATGGAGAAAGTTTACAATTATGGTATGCATTCAATAACTGCAGTTTGTATGGCTTCATGTGCAGACGATGTTTTAGAACTTGCCATACCGTTGGTTGAGGAATTTTAAGTTCTTTGCTTGCTCGCTATGTAGATTTCTTTAGGCTCCTTTCGTAAAGTGTACGAATACGCTCGACATTAACGTTCGATGTGCGTGAACGTTCCGTGCTTTTCCCTTTGCAGATGCAACCATCTTCTACGAATCTTCGATGCCACTCGTAAATTTGCTTATGACGCGGTGGCTGTTTATTAAATTGACGGCGTAATGCTCGCTGAACTGCAATAATGGACACTAGTTTTGCCAATTGTAGAACACAAAAAGACTTCTGTGGTGTCACCGCCATTTCACTACAGACTACCAACCGACAAATAATACCAGAACAAACAACAGCGCCAATGCGGCCATGATTGGAACTTTTACCCGTACTAAATTGTACACTTTATTATTATCGCAAAAGAGGCTGCAATAGGGAGAGTTTCGTGGACGTCCTATGTTCAAGGTTAAAAAAAAATAGCAACTAAAGTTATTTATTCGTATTTATTTTAAGCAATGGCAGTTACAATGGAATTCTTCTGAAAGGAAAAGTTGCTATTTGAAATATTTAGAACTAATTAGAAAAAAAAATTTTTTTTGAAATTTGATTTTGAAGCTAACCAGTTTCTGACCTGACATGTTCGTTTTCCGGGATACTTCGCTAGGTTTAAGATACAGGAACGACGATAAATGTAAACTATGTGGATCTGTTTGGTGATGCTAAGCACTTTCCTCGAGGTCTGTCCCTACTTTGATGGCTTAAGAAACAATAACCAAATACTGATTTTAAAAATCCCTTTTTATGCTATAAAGATTTCGCACAATTATGTAAATCTGTGATGAAATTTATTGACGGTGAGCGCCGGGCAGTGGGAATCAGTGTATGATATTTGCATTTTATTGCCATCACTATTTGGTATATTTTAATAATTTGTTGTTACCATTGTTTGTGTTTCTTATTCGCGTTTTTGTTTTTTCTTTAGTGTCTGCTCTTGTCTAAATGTTTGTACTTGTTCCTTTTCTTCACTTTTATGTTTATAATTATTAGTTACCCATAATTATTCTCATTTAGATATTTTATGTCTCATTTTTTCATTTGTTGAAATGGGCGTGGCCTGTCATGACCATAACACCAACTTGTTTGGTTAGGCGGGTCGGGCTGCGCCCGCTCCTGATACTGATGCTGATACTGATACTAAATTGTACACTTTTCTCTATCCATTAAACGTTAGAATCGTGTTTCTATCTTTTGTAGTTTGCAAGAAATACATGTTTGCAATCTGCTCTTTCTTTTTGAATAACCCTGTATTAGAAACATAAGTGCAGAAAAAGATTAAAAGTGGATCCTAATTTATGGTTAAAACTAAACGAAATAGGACCAGACATTTAGGACCAGACAAAAGAAATTGATCTCTCCTACACAGGCCCAAATTTGACACTAAATTTTAGAATTAAACTATTATAACTTCGATTCTGGTAACTAAAATGGGAACCAATTTTTAATCTAACATTTTATATGTGTACATATTTAATACAAATAGCCAATAGCTTGTGCAAACGGCAAAATATTTTTTGTAATATTTCTATTGAGAAACTGATAAATAATCATTGAAAAATGTACTGGTGGTACTAAAAGTTTTCAGTTTTTGGTTAAGACGGTACGTTAGTCAAAAGATTGAGAACCGCTGGTTTAAAGCAGTGTAGATACTGCATAAAACTGTTTTTTAATAATTTGTGAGGTTTACCACTGTGTGATTGCAGTCAAAAGTGAGTAACCTTAAGAACTAGTTAGAAAATAATCGCTTAAGTTCGTGTGACAAGAAACAACAAAATGGAAGGGCAACTAACCCTTAATTATTCCAATAAGATTTAACAAAACTCCGTCTTGGAGTGTACAATCAAAGCCGACACTTGGGCTTGAACTTAAGAGACTAAGAAATAAACTAAAACTAAGATTAACTAAAGAGATATAGCCGAAGCTATCAAGATTCTAATCGAGTTGGCCCCTTAACTCTATTTGACTACGAAACTTATCAAGGGCCTGAGTACGGCCGAGCGTAATAACAGCTTTGAGAAAGAGAGAGCAGCCAAAACGGCATACGCGCGCAAATCATAAACTCTGATCCTCTCTTACTCACCAAGTAGAACTTTGTGGTTTAAATACCGCTCCTCATTAAGTATTCAGAGTGATTCCAAAACTGCGTTCTGGCCGGAAGTAGTAAGTTAAAGTTATGAATTTGACAGGAAAGGAACTTTAACTTAAAATTTAACTGTTAATAAAATTAAGATAATCCTTACAAATTCTTTTAATAGGAATCCTATGGGACGAACAGGTCTCCGAGGTAAGGGTGCATTGCCACGCTGGGGTCCAAATCATTACATGCTGGTCATTATTACGAGGTAAGAAAACAAAAATTAGTTCTTGGTCTGTAAAATTGAACTACGAGTTTTTAACTTGTTATAAAATTTGAATTAGCATTTTCAGCGTAACATTTCTCTAATATCTTTCATGTGTGGAGCTAAATGGTAACTTTCCATTTAAGACTTGTTGCATAAAAGCAAATATTTCTAAGTAGCTTAGAAACATTCAGGAGATATATATACATCCTTTGCCAGAAAAGTTCCAGGACAAAGCTTGTAAAAAATAGAAAACTGCACTTACCAAGTAATGAACTTACCAAGTAATCTCCTTAGCTATCTAGTATATACAGCTGCCAATGTTTCTGAAGATCTTGGAGCAAACGGAGAAATCTTCAACTGCGATGTTTGCAAGCTCATTTGTCACAACTCGTTGGATGTCCGCAATAATCTTGATAAAGCTTTCCTTTTCACTCGAACAAGAAACAAATCACGATAATCTTTGACACGAATGTGGAGTCACGTCTGGATCTATCCAACAGTTCAGCAGAAATTCTTCTTCTTTTCTTCAATTTGTTTATTTAAAGAAACATCTAAATAACGAAAACATTTCATAAGTGTTTTGAATATACTTTTACATAATATCTTATTCTATTTAAAAAACTCGATTTGAATTTATTTCCGAAAAAACATTTTTTAACATTCTTTTCCAGGTTCCAAAAATCCAGAGAATCACTTTTATCAACTAAGGGATTGGAATTTGTTGTGCTATGGACAGAGAAACGATTTCAGCTATCTATTCCTGGAGTAAGAATTATTTTTTTTAAATACAGAAATATCTAACTGCCACGTAAAATTATGCAATTTCAGAATGCACTTTTAAAAAATCAGAATTGCGAAATGCTTAATTGAAATTTAAAAAATCTGATGTGTACACCACATGACTTCCTTGTATGGAATATTAAATTATACGCATTTTTTTCCTTGAATATCATTTAAATTGATTGGATTGAATTAAATCTACTTCGTCGACAGCGCATAAACCACAATACAATAAATGCACTCTTTAAAATATACTATATTTTTTACTATAAGAACACTCTGAATGCACAAAATTTATATCATTTGAAGAATTATGTTGCCACATGTTCAATTCAAATACTATAATAAAGCTAAAACGATGTATAAAAGAAATTAAGCAAACAAAACAGAAAAGAAACAGTTTTTCACACATGATTGAGTATTTCTCATTCAATTAATTCAGTTCTCACTTCGCGACAAGGCAAAAATATATAAAATCTCAAAATATCTGCATTACAAATTACGAAGTAAATCTTAAACACTTATTTCCTCGAAAAAATTCCAGAAAGATTAAGCATGATTTAATTCGCAATAATAAATGAAGGCGTTATTTTTGTGTTGCGAAGCTTAGTCTCTCTAGATTGGCAACAAATCTACAATTCTGATGTTTCAAATGTAAACAAATATGTCCGCCAGGTTATTTAAAAATTAGGCTTAACCGCACTTAAACAGCTTTTAAATTGTTGATAATTGTACAAATATTGCTTCCAGAATTACGAAAGGCATAAAAACCGTAACCGGAAGATAAAAACAACATAATTCAATCATTTTTTAAAGCAAAAAAAAAATGTACAATTTACAAACATATAAGAGTAAAGAAACTGAGATCACTGAGCCGGGTAACAGAGTGGATATATATATAAATATATTTATATACGTTTGGAGCGGTCGATTGCAACCAAAATACGAGGTGCACAGCTACATGTTATAGCAGTCCTATATACAAAATTTCAACGTTCTGAGGCTACTCGTTTTTGAGTTATGCGAGATACGTACGTACGTACATACGTTCGTACAGACGCCACGAAAAATTCTCTTCAGAATTCATTTTAAAGCAGTTTTATAATATTTTTGGAGGAAAAGAGTCTTTTATTCTGCACTTACGTACAGATATCACGCAAAAGCATCGTTAAATAGCATTCGATAGAGGTCAAAATGGATATTTTCGTTGAAATATGCTGCCTGAAACTTTTCGCGATTACAATTTTTCCTTTTTACTTCGTATAAGGAAGTAAAAAAAAAAGCATCTTTTAAATTCTAAATATTTTTCTGGTAGCTGCGAATTTGAAAAATTGATATCAAACATTAAGTTTTGCAAAAGTATATAAATTTATCATATCATCATTCATATCTCTTCTAACTTCATTTTGAAAGCAGAATAATTATTTTGAAATCCTTCTGATAATCAAAATTCTGGTATTTTCGAACGTTTTTTAAGGTCACAAATAACTGGAACTTCTTGTTCGGGAGAGCTCTTGAGCTAATCTATAAATTTTGATGTTGTTTTTGTTGAACGGTTTTGAATAAGCAAGTTGCTGAAATTAACAAAATATTAAAAATTTAATTGGCAACAGCTGTTACACTAATAGATGTGGCAAGTTGAATTTCGTCAATCGACCCAGTACAACGAGAGATATAGAACTGCCCCTTCATTTTTGGTGCATTTTCGAAGTTCCTTAACAAAAAAGGATTTAAATTAACTCCGCATAATTAATGCTAAAAATTTCCTTATTTTAATTATCACATAACACATATTTTTATGCAAATATTCCCGTGCTGCAAATTACCGGGCAATTTTATTTTTCGGATCGCTGAGTTGTCTTTCTAACAAGAAAAGAATCTTTCAGTCTTCCATTATTAATTTAGAAAGCAAAATACTAATAACGTATTTTGGTATTTTGCTTTAGTATTTTAGTATTTTGTTAGTATTAACAAACAACAGTGCCAGTGCGGCCATGATTGGAACTTCTACCCGTACTAAATTGTACACTTTTCTCTATCCATTAAACGTTAGAATCGTGTTTCTATCTTTTGCAGTTTGGAAGAAATACATGTTTGCAATCTGCTCTTTCTTTTTGAATAACCCTGTATTAGAAAAATAACTGCAGAATAAAATTAAAAGTGGATCATAATTTATGGTTAAAACTAAACGAAATAGGACCAGACATAAACAAATTGATCTCTCCTATTGTATTTATATTGTATTTATATTTGATCTATCCTATTGTACTTCTCCTAATCTCTAATTGTATTTTTATTGATAATTATATTCACAAGAGGATGTTACGATAGACCCTTTTAAATGATTTAGACTATTTTTTAGGGGTTTGTCTCTGGCGAACATCGCTACGAGGTCATCAGGTCCATGTTCAAACCACAATTCACGGGAAATGCTGTTTGGATTGAGGCAAGTTCTGTAAACCAAGTAAGTAGTGTCGCGTAAATTATAATTTTTTGAATAATTGGATAATAATTGAATAATTAATGATTAACAAAAAACGTCTGAAGCTTTCAGATTTTATATTACGCCCAATGAGGCGTTTTTTAATGTTTTGTGTGTTACCTTTACTTATTAAATATCATGTTCTTCACACTAATACCATAAAATTCACTTCAACAGCAATATGGCAAAATAATTAAAAAAGCGCATATCTAGAATTTCCGATATACAATCTCGCGCACGGCAAATAATTTTTTCCCGTACTGTTAATAATTAAATATTTTTTAATTAAATAAATAATTTTAAAATATTAAATAATTTTTACCCCGTCGTTGCCATTGCTCGCTTTGAAATCGTGGAGTTACTTAATAAAACACTCATAAATGCTTTACAATATATGAAATAGATAAAATATAAATTCTAAATTTGGGCTTCCAGATGAACATATTCGGGTGGAGACGTACGTTATTCAAAATTGGATGGCTCTAGCTACCGTCGTTTTATCACAATGCGAGAAACATACATGCATTCATGCATGTTCTTCGTTATTTAATTTCTTTAAATATAATACAGGGCTATAATATTTGGTGGCAACTATTTAAAAAGCGATTCGCCGTTTATCATGAAACAACGCAAAATGCCAAAACGAAATTAATAGTCCCTCCGGGCAAATTACAACTTTGGGAGAATAATTTATCATAATAATTAATAATTAATAAAATTATATAATTAACAATATTATAAAAAGAAAAAAAATCTGAAAGCTTACAGATTTTATTTTTACGCCCAAAGGGACGTTATTTTAGCGTTTTGTGTGTTACCTTTATTTATCAGATATCATGTTCTTCGCACTTAAACCATGAAATTCAATTAAACAACAATATCACAAAATAATTTTAAAATAAGCATATCTTTAGAATTTCTGATACACAGTCTCGCCCGCTAGAGATATTTTTTCTTTTCGTACAGTTTTGCCATTGCTCGCTTTGAAATCGTTGAGTTTCTTAATGAAAAACTCATAAATGCTTTACAAAATATGAAATAGATAACAAAACAAATTCCAAATTTGGGCTTTCCGATGCCCATATTCGGGTGGAGACATATGTTATTCAAAACTGGATGGCTGTAGGTACCGTCATTTTATCACAATGCGAGAATTATACATACATTCATGCAGATTCTCCATTATTTAATTTCTTTATTATTTAACACAGGGCACTAAAATTTTGTGGTAACAATTTAAAAAGTGATTCGCCGTTTATAGTGAATCAAAATAAAATTCCAAAACGAAATTAATTCTCTTCTGGGCAAAGAGCCCATTTGGATTAATAACATTAATTACATAATAATACTATTAACTTATATATTATACAATTAATTTAAGGGGGCCCATACACCTTAAACCCCTTATGATGTTCGAATATGTGACTGTTGCAAGAATTGGGATAACTTATTTATTTTAAAAGCAATTACTTCCAACTTTTTTATGGCTGACTACATAATATAGCTGCTTTCTGAAATCGTAATCAGAAAGTTTGTGTTGCCACAAATATTTTTATAATTTTATCCGCTTTTGGACAAATATTTTCGTCATGTTTTCACCTTGCACGCACAGTTTAAAGTTATCTGTGGCATTATTTAATTCCATAGGTTATATATAGCTTTTATAACATTTGGAAACTACTGTAAACCAAAAAAACTGAGAATTTCATGTTAAATTTTTATTATATTTGGAGTTTATAAAATGTATTTTATTAAAAAAATTTGTGGTATTTTCATGCATAAAATTTTTTAATAATAAAATATTCATCAGATTTTAGGTTCAGTTAGAAAATAGTGCCCATATAAAAAATTACATCTAATTTCAAGTATGTACCATTAGCCATTTTTAAAATATCATGCGCGCAAGGTCGAAAATTGACGAAAAATTTTGTCACAAAGCTGATTAAATTACAAAAATATTTGTGGCAACACAAATTTTCTGCTTACTAGTTTCCAAAGCAGCTATATTATGTAGTCAGCTGTAAAAGGTTGGAGGTAATTACTTTTAAAATAAATAAAATATTTCAATTCTTGCAGCAGTCGCATAATTGGTAGCCCACCAGCGGCCGAGCGGTAAAGTCGCTGAACACTGGTAGTTCGGTCCGAGGTTCGAATCCCGCGAACGGGCTGGCTGCATGAGTGTTTTCGTGGTTATCCCCATGTGTAACATGTATAGGAGCCAGTTTCCCTTAGAAAGTCCTCCACGAAGGCATCCCTCCCCTTAGGCAGATAGCCCTAGTGTGCTTTTCCATAATTAAATACACCACCATAATTGGAAGCTCATAAGGGGTTTAAGGTGTATGAGCCCCCTTAATATTTATATCATAATAATTAATATAATAATTTAAATAACCTGAATATTTTTTTGGATTGTATCGGAATAGTTTTCTATTGGCAAGGCATGCTTAATGAATATATGCAACTGCTGATTTAATTTTTCAATCTGCGCATCCTACTCGGATACTTGCGTAGTCAGTAGAAATTATGAACATGTCATTGTAAGATTTCATTAGCTAAAAATATACATCAATTTAATTGGAGTTTAGAATAAATGGATTTAGAATAACTGCGGAGAGTAATATAAGTAAGGAAATGTTGTTTATTAGGTTAACGATGAGTACTTATCATGATTTTGACGTAAACAAATAAGAAATTGTCCGTATCACCATCGTGTATTTTTCTCGAGAAAAATCGCAGTTATTAGTTACTTTGTTATCTATTTTTAACCATTACTTATGCTCATGATTATATATCCATGAATACGAGTTATTGATTATCTTACGCACGCAGGATGAAGTGAATAATAATTTAATAATTTAATAACTATGTATGTAAAATAACACCGGTTCCTATATCAGACATACCTTCTCTTATATAAGATATTGCAATAATTTAAGTAAATCTAAGTTAATGAATAAATAAACGGAATTTTACTTATTTATGCTTTGTTTTTCTAGTTTCGAATTTCACTCTCTAGTAATACGTGAATTAGATTCTGTATATAGAAGCTTTTATATGTGCTCTCATGAATGATATGCACACTGGCATATCATTCATCAAACAGTTATTAGATGCATATTAACTCTTAAATGCATGAATTTTTATTTTTAAAATCAAAAATACATTAGACTTGACATCAAATAAAATAGGAAGAATACTAAAAAAATCTAAGCTAAGTTTTTATTCCAATTTTTTTAAAAAATATTATATTAAATTATATTATTATATTAATATTATATTATATTAAATTTAAAATTATTTACCATTTTCCGCTTGCTTTAAATATTATTAAATTTAAAATTATTTACCATTTTCCGCTTGCTTTTTATCTGATTCTGTTTTTTTAATGTTTTACATGTCTAATGGTTTGATTTTCATATGTATTAATTTTAAAAAAATTAATACTTTTTGGAGCAGCAGCTCTTGGTAACTTTTAGGCGAGCTTACTACAATTTTTATATTTTACTTATTTTGCAGCATATTGCGCAAGATGTTTTCTAGGCCAAAATTGGTTTTTTTTTTTAAAATTATAATTACTACCTTGCTTGATATATTAAATTTAAAAAAAATATATGATAGAAAAATGTGTGATAACAATTTTATGTAATAATACATACCTTATAAAATCGTTCAAACAATTTTAAAGCTATGAATACATCGAAATAACAACAAACAAAAAATCAAAAATTCGTAAACGCAAATGATGTCCACACCGTACACCACATCAACTGACACAATAATGAGCGTTATGCCATTAGTGGTGCCACCACACTGACTTTCAAAACTGTAATAGGTAAACAGTATGTATCCAATTGGTTGCTCTATGCAGTAAGCTAAAATTTGTGTTTAGATTTGGCGAATGAATTAGAAACCTTTGAGATTTTCATTTGAATGCGTGCTAGGGATGAAATATGCAATTTTTGTTTTATGACGTGGATTACACTTGGTTAGAATGCTACTATTGTAAGGATCCTAAGTTTTACTAACGTTTATTTTATTTTAAAACTGTACTATCGCTTCTTATTTTCTACTTCCGGCCATAATTAAATACTTTAACTTGTTTATGCAAATTGTCTTGCTAACGCCCAAGTATTTAAGTCGTGCCAATTTGTCAAGAGTTATACAGAGAGGAGGAGATTTAGGAAGCGAGCCGCTTGCCACTGCAGTTTTACGAGTTTTCACTCGGTTGCTGTTTGCCTTTAAAGCCAGAGGTTTAGCCCTCTTGATATTTGAAAACGTACTGTAGTTTCCGCAGCTCGGCCTACTACATACGTACCCTTTTAAATAAAGGCCAGTCTTAGTGCTAGGCATTTGTATACTACGTTAGCTTTTAGTTAGTAGTTTTATATTTTTACGTTCAGACCACAAGTGGTTGGTCTCTGTGTCCCGAAGTTCGGGAGTGCCTGTAAAGTAATAGAGAATAAAGGGTTTCGTATACCCTTCCTGCTTGTGTCATCTATTCCACACAATCTGTAACAAAGCTTCAGTAAGTTAACTGTTCTTATTCAGGATGCAGTATGTTCTCGAAACAAGTGAAAAGACATACGTCTCCTGACAGTATAAGTAAGGTGTGAGGCTTTTCACGATGAATGAAGTAAAATGGGAAAAACGACAGATTTTTCACCATTTGAAAAAGGGCTTATTGTTGGTACTCGTTTAGCAGGGCCTCGATTTCAAAGACAGCAAATCTCAATGGGTTCTCACAAGCAGCCATATCAAAGGTTTCCAAATGTTGGAATCAGAACCCACAATCCTTCTCTAGAAGACGTAACTGCGGTTCGAGCACAATTTTCCAAGGCAGTGATCGGCGTCGTCTCCGACGAATTGTAAAGCAAAACAGGCACTCTTCTGTGCTTCAACTGACACAGATCGTCAACCAAGGCTCTTCCCAACAGGTTTTGGCTCGGACCATGAGCGGAGAATTCCAGAGGATATGAATGCATAGTAGGGTGCCTGTGAGAGAAACCAATCATTTCTGCTCGACATGCAAGAATTTGTTTGCAGTGGTGTCGGGAAAGAGCACACTGGGCATCTGAGGATTGGAAACAGGTAATGTGGTCCGAAGAATTCCGCTAACACCTTATATGGCCTGATGGAAGATGTCGAATTTGGCGATAAACCCATGAAGCCCTACTCGCACTGTGCAAGGCCCTAGTGGGAGTATCATGATATGAGGCATGTTCTTCTGGCATGAAAGTGGTGCCATGGTGGTCCTGGTTAACGAACAGCCAAGAGATATACGTTTGCTAAAAAATTGCTTACTGGTTCTGATAAAGTATTTATTAGGTCTTTGAAAGGCATAATATCATAGAACAGATTAAAAGAAAATCTTTTATCTGAATTTGTTCTAAAATAAACGGTGCACAACTTCATAATTTATTACAGAAATGACATTTAAAACCTAGTGAATCACTTTCCGAATATTTAATTGCCATGTGTGAAATAGCCAGTTGCGGTTCTGTTGATGATTCATCAATTCTTGATTATGTAATCAATGGGATACATGGATCAGAGTAGTAACAAAATTATTTTGTATGGGTATAAAACTATTTCTGAGTTCAAAGAGAAATTTAAAATTTATGAGAAAATTCTGCGTTCCAGATATGAAGAATAAGGGTTATTCAAGTACTAACACACAAAATAAAACACGCACTATACCTAGTAAGATTAAAGAACCAAGGTGTTATAATTGTGGAAATTTAGGTCATAAATTTAGGTAATAAAAGAATAAAGGATTTAAGTGTTTTTAATGCGATTTGTTTGGATACAAAGCCATAGATTGTTTCAAAACATCTTCTAAAAATATCCAAGAGGCCAAAACTGTAACTCCAATCACTCAGACTTGTCAGAGAGAAATGCATAAAACTGTTAATTTGGGTAATTTGCAAATTGATGCTTTAATAGATACTGGTAGTCAAGTAACGCTAATTCGTGAAAATATACATAAGAAGATAGGTTCTCCTGAACTTAAGTCGGCAGATCTACAGTTAACGGGGTTTGGTAACGGGGTACAGTAACGGGGAAAACTAAGCCTATAGGAAAGTTTGAAGGTGAATTCCAAATTTATGGTTCTTCATTTCGATCAAATATTTGTGTTATCGCAGAGAACGAAATGTTTTTACAAGCGATCATTGGTACTGATATTATAAGGCGAGGAGAATTTACTGTAAATGAAAAAGGAGTCGAAATTAGAAAATTGCAACCAGAAAACTATTTGATGTGCATTCGTGATATTTATAATGACGAGGAAATTGATTTAAATCATATCAAAGACTTAGACATGCTGGCAGATCAAGACTCAGACATGCTGCAGTGTTGCATTTTTAGCCTGATGGCGACGGATACTTCATGGACGATAATGCAACTATACATCGTATCAGAAGGTTCGCTGACTTCCATCACCTATCCTGGCCACCGCATAGCCCGGATCTTAACACCATAGGAAATGTGTGGAATATGATGTTAAGACGCATTTGACAACATTGTCCTCTTCCATCTAATTTACAAGATCTAAAAAGCTACATACTCCAGAAGCATGTAGACTCAATGCTCAAACGAATCAGAGCAGTTATCCACGCAAAAGGTCGTCTGATAGTATATTAATTTTGGGTTTCTAATTCATTGGCCAAGGTGTGTATCATGAATGATATTAACGGAACATAAAACAAATAAATTCAAACACATAAAAGTGGATAAATTTTCCAGTATTTTAAAAATCGCAATATGATAATAACGATGATAAAATTTATAATGTGTGTGCAATACTTTACTTTCTTCATTTATGTATATATGCATATATTTGTTACAGTTTTTCCGCGAATGCGTTGTATCGAAAGGTGAGCTTTCGGAATCAACAGAAAGTTTTCCAAGTCTTCAAGAAATAGAGGAAGCAGCAAAAGTGTCGTGTGAAGTAGTAAATAAAGGTTACATGGATGATCCTTCGAACACAGATCATGCTTGGAAAGAAGTGGAACTCTGGCACGTGCATTACGATACGCAGGATACTATTTCAGAGAAGTTACAGGTTCGGTTTTTTAAAACAAATTAGAGGTTCTTCAACGAATGCTTCTGTTTACATAACTAAACTTTGGTAATACAGCTTAGCAATTAGCAATTTGTTTAACAATTTGATCATTACGTGAACTTAAAAGCAAAGTATAACTCATTAAAAGAGTTTATTCAGTTTTAAAACGAAATAGTGTACGTAGGTTCTTGAAATTTCTACCATATACGTACATTTTACGGAAGAAAACTTTATAATCCAAACGGGACGTAAACTGATATGAGAGATGACGTGAACAAGGAAAGACACCATAACGATTCCAAACGATCGGGATCATTGAACGAAAATGAAAAAAGTCAGAATATTGTAAGGGAGAAAAATGAACAAAAACGTAAAAACAGAACATTGTAGAACCACATGTCAAACAGTTATTAAATGTGTATTAACACTTAACTGGACGATTTTTTTATTTTTTAAGTCAAAAATACATTAGAATTGATATAAAATAAAATAGGAAGAATAATAAAGAAATAAAAAACCTAAGTTTTTATTCCAATTTTTGAAAAAATATTATTAACTTTATAAGGTATATCTCCCGCCTTCTTGGCATGCCTTCGTGGTGTGGTGGTCTGCACGCTGGGCGCGTGTTCCAGACGTCCGTGGCTCGATTCCCGACGAAGGCGTTGCATATTTTTCATCTTGCCTGCTTCCAAAAAATATGATAGGCAAATGTGTGATAACAATTTTATGTAATAATACATACCTTATAAACTTGTTCAAACAATTTTAAAACTTTGAATACATCGAAATAACAACCAGCAAAAAATCAAAAATTCGTAAACACAAATGATGTCCGCACCCTACACATCAACTCACCACACAATAATGAGCGTTATACCGTTAGTGGTGCCACCCCACTGAAACTTTCAAAACTGTAATACGTAAAAAGTATGTATCCAGTTGGTTACGCTATGCAGTAAGCTAAAATTTGTGTTTTGATTTGATTTATATGACTAAATATGAGTACGCTGCTGAATGGCAACTACATGCATTTAAGAATGAAACACTCATACGCATCTTTAAGGTGTCTACCGCGCTAGTGCTTAATCAATTAGTCTGCCAACCTGTAAATTTTATGAGATGTACGCCTCGAGATTAGTAGAATCAACTACTCTAAGCATTTAGGGAACATTTAGCGAATTTATTTAAAAGCAGTAGCTATTGACAGAGGCTTTTCAGGCAACATTATTAATCAAGCAGTTAATAAATTCTCATCTCAACACACCAAAAGGCACACTCTTGTTTTAGGAGATTATAAAAATTATATTGTCGTTCCCTTCTTTCCATCAATTAGCTGTAAAGTTGCACGTATTTTACAGAAATTTAACTTTCGGGTCGTTTATTCTTCCATCAATAAAATTCCGGGTTCATACTCAAGGACCCCATTCCGAATATGAATTCCTGGGGTATTTACAGGATTCCTTGCCAGTGTAGTTTAATTTACATTGGTCACACCAAAGGAGCCTTAAAATTTCGCGTTAAGGAACATGATGCATATGCAGGGGCGTAGCTAGAGGGGGAACCTGTCCCCGGGCGCAGAATCCAAGGGTCGCCAAACTGATGTTACAACATTTTAGAATTAAGTGTTTTCCATCCTTGGCAAGCAGTAGGGGGCGGGGAAATCTTCAGTTGTCCCTGGGCGCTGAAAACCCTAGCTACGACTCTGGGCACATGTTAGAAAAAAAGAAACGCAGAAGTCTTCTGTTGCCCAGTATTGTTAATCCGAAAATCACACTTTCAATTTTTCTCCTGCCAAAATTATTCAAAAAGCATCTTTCATTGGTGAAGTGGATTTTTAGAGGCATTTCGCATTCAAAAAAAAAAAATCTTTCTGTTCTAGTTAACGACCCTAATTCCAATCCATCTTTGCCTTCGGCCTTTAAAGAAATTATGTTTTAGTTCTGGTTTCATCAACACATGGCGCGAGTAGCTTGACTCCTGTCCATGTTATCTTATCTAATCACTATATCTTATCTCGTTCATTTGCGCTTTTCCAGCTGAGGAAGATGGTTCCGTACAACGCTGATTTTTGTTGTTCGACTTCTAAATTAATTTAGAGAACATCTTAATACATTTTAAAACATACCGATAGAGGGGAGTGCCTCAAGTCTGAGAAAGCAAGAAGACAGGAAAAGTCTTGTCATATGGGACCATTTACTGTCTCGCTGAGAAATATACTGGTAAGTGATAAGAGACGGAGGACGCGAGCACCACCCCTCTACTATAGCGGTTAATTGGTATAGGGCCACGTCCCCCTTGTCTAGAGCACCCCAAGATGGTATGGGAAGGGTGAGGGGCCACATGAACCCCTGACACCAGTCATCGATTTAAAATACAGTGCCATACAAGGGCCTTGGCAGATAGTACATTTCCATACAATAATATTTTGGTTCATACAGCATGTTACAGTTGAGGTACATATACGTATGATGGCGTATTACAAATAAGGTACATAGTACATAATATTACATGTACAAAGACAAATACATTTAAAATATGCATATTACATTACATTAATTTGATTATGTGCATGGGAATATTTTAGATATAGGAAATTATATTAAGATTTACATGTGATCCAAGGGCAATATCGTGTTGCAATGGTTCGTATGTCTTACATCAGAATTTATGACATGTATGTTATGAATACATACATGTATAACATACATGTCATAAATTCTGATGTAATAAGAATGCATAATTTACATGTATGCATACATTATACGTTATATACACTATACTGATACATTATACACTATACTGATACATTATACACTTATACTGTTACATTATACACTTATACTGTTACATTATACACTATACTGATACATTATACACTATACTGATACATTATACACTATGCTGCTATAAAATATACTGGTAGTGTTTCTTATATTAAGAATGGCAATATAACAGGTTAAAAAAAATTTATAGCAAATTGTGCACGGTGGAATAATAAGGATATCTGGCTTTAGTAGGAAACAGCTCATTCTCAGTGCTGGAAATAGATAAAGATCTATAAATAAGGCAGAGTTCCAGACTAACCCAGACAGGTAAGTTCGGGCCATTGGCGCAGCCCACTACGAAGCGTATCTCGTTAGAGAAGACTTATAAAATTGGCTGAGCATTACTTTACATTGAGCTAAACAGAGAGCAGTAAAAAAGGAGGGGAGAGGATATGGGTTTAATTAAAAGGTATTTTCTCCCTCCTTTCTACATCCCTTCGTGGTGTAACGGTAGCACGGTGCGTATACGAGAGATCCACGTTCGAGTCCCGGCGAGGGCATTGTTCATTTCTCATGTCTTCTGTTTTAGGTTAATTTAGTGACTATACAAACTTTTTCCAAACGAAGCAGGTTTCATACATAAAAAAATAATCAGTAATACACGTTTTAGAATCATTAGGTTGTTTTTAAATCAGGAACGATGAAAAATGAGCAGCGCCTTCGCTTGGAATCGAACCACGGACCTTTGGAATACGCGCCCAGCATGCAGACTACTACACTACGAAGGCACGCTAAGAATGCGGGAGAAATACCTTATATACCCCACCTTTTAAAGAGCGACTGGGGTTTTAATGAACCCAGTCGCCAAATCCTGGGTGTGGAGAATCATCATCCCCACCCTTTTAGTTCGGGCGACACTGTAGAGGTATTAGGTTATTTGGAAGCTTAGTATCGATTTTGAAAAACAAGCAACGCTTTCGCCGGGAATCCAACCACTGACCTCTGGATTACGCGCCCAGAATGCACACCACTACTCCACGAAGGCACGCTAACAAGGCGGGAGAAATGCCTTATAACGTAGGAAAAAATTTTATTTCGCTAGTATTTAGTAACTGATATTTGCAAATAAAACTGGAAAAATACCGTATTTGCCCGCGTTTAAGACGAGCCGGCCTATAAGAAGCACCCCCTTTTTTATCCACATCGCAATAATAAATGAAGGCGTTATCTTTGTTGTTGCGAAGCTAAGTTTCTCTAGATTGGCAACAAATCCGCTATTCTGCTGTCTCAAATGTAAACACGCAATGGCCGCCATCAAAAATATTATTAGGCTTATCGGCACTTAAACAACTTTAAAATTGTTGATAATTCTAAAAATATTGCATACAGATTTACTAAAGGCATAAAAACATTAACCATCATTAACCATAACATAATTCAATCATTTTTAAAGCAAAAAAAAAAATGTACAATTTACAAACATATAAGAGTAAAGAAACTGAGATCACTGAGCCGGGTAACAGAGTGTATATATATATAAATATATTTATATACGTTTGGTGAGGCCGATTTCATCCAAAGTACGAGGTGCACATCTACATGTTATAGCAGTCCTACATACAAAATTCCAACGTTCTGAGGCTACTCGCTTTTGAGTTATGCGAGATACGTACCTACATAGGTTCGTACAGACGCCACGAAAAATTCTCTTCAGAATTCATTTTAAAGCAGTTTTATAACTTTTTTGGAGGAAAAAAAGTTTTTTATTCTGTCCTTACGTACTGATATCACGCAAAAACATCGTTAAATTTCATTCGATAGCGGTCAAAATGGATATTTTCGTTGAAATATGCTGCCTGAAACTTTTCGCGATTACAATACTTCCTTTTTACTTCGTACAAGGTGGTAAAAACAAAATATGTATGGCAAATAGATGTTAAAAACCACTTAAATCCAAACTCATCAATATTAAATCTAAATTAAATTTATATAAAACTTTAATAAGGCCTGCTGCGCTTCGCGGAAGCGAATGTTGGTTACTTCACCAAGCAGAGAAACACCTGATATCAACTTCTGAAAGAAAAGTCTTAAGAAGCATCTTTTGGACCGGTAAAACAAAATGGCATATGGAGCATTCTCTATAATCATGAACTGTATGTGAAATATGATGAAACTAATATTGCGAGAATCGTAAAGGCTTCTTGTATCAGATGGCTAGATCACGTGTTTAGATATGATGATGATGAACTTCCAACCTAAAAGCTAACCATTTCGAGAATTGAGGGAGTAAGACGAAAAGGAAGATCACCCACTAGATGGATAGATGATGTCGAGGAAGACTTAAGATTAATTGGAGTTGACTATTGCATCGAATGGTTCTGGTAAAGGAAACTTAGAGAGACAGCCTTGGCCTGTAACTAACAGTCTGTAGAGCTTATGAAGGAGAAGGAGGAGGAGAATGCAAGTAGACCAATGATTAGGGTAACCATGGAGAAGTAGAAGGGCCACAGGTAAGCGTCAATCCAGGCCATAGCTAAGCAGTGGTCTCCCTATCAGCTTAGGTAAATAGAAAGGCAGATTAGTTTAATAACAATATACCATCCTAGTACCATCCTGTTTAATGACTTCCCCCCCCCCATCCTGGAGATTTGACAGCAGTAAACCGCTTAATACAGATACTTAAAGTCTGAATTGGAAAACTGTTGAGATATTTGTAATCGCATTCTTACTGGTTAAAAGGAAGTATAGCTTTCTGTCAAGTCCGATACATTCATTAGCTTTCTGCCAGGTCCGAGTTATTCTGAAACTTAATCCCATTCTGTATGTTTCTTTTGATTGGTTATTTATTGTGTCTTGTTTATGATTTGTTAAACCATGATCTGTTATAAAGTTATATATATGACCTCTGTAACCGCTTATGGTGGCTAGTGCTGGTACTTACTTATTTCTGCTTGCATGTAACTGCGTGTATCTCTGCATATCTCAGTAATAAATATTTGCTTTGAGAACCACGGCATTTTCTATGTTTAACAAAAACAAAATATAAAATAAACCTGATGTGCCAAAAGCAATCGAGGGCAATTCCAGTACAAGCCTGTAGCAGCTCCAGTAGAAGAAGGAAGCTAATTAGAGATTATTTATAATAGTGATATACGTAAATAAGTTTAAAACTACTCGAAACCTTTTCAATACTTGTTTTCAAAAGCTAGTCCAGCATAAAGAGCGCTTTGAAATGGACATGCGTTCATTATGTGAAACACTTCTGTATCTGTAAAGAACTTGTATTTTATGTTCCAAACCGTTACCATTCTAAAAGCAATAAAATATCATAAATTAAAGGCAAAATAAGGCCACTAAATTTAAATTAATAAAAGCTTCAGCAGCCAAAGATTTTTCTACATGAATAAATTTTATTTAATTTTCTTCATCGAAAATATAAGAGTTATTTCAAGATATTTTTAGGTATATTGTACATTAATAACATTGTATGTTTCTATTTAATTTAATAGCATTTTAATTTTCTATTTATGTTAATACTGATTATGATTTACAAATGATTAAACGCATGAATTCCTTTTTTACTGACGTTTACAATTTTTTTTTCAGGCACAAATGGGTTGGAGGCTCATAACTGAGGACGCTTTTTTCAAATTGCCAGCCGGGCAAGCAGTTTTGCTGCAGGACATTGCCAGAAAAATGAAAGCCGCAATTTTATGAACATTTGTAGATATAACTACCATTGTTCTTAATTTCTAAACTAGTGTTTTTTTTCCTGGCTACTACACAGACTCAACCGCACAGCATGAAGTTTCATCTTTGAATTACCAAAGACTAAAATTAACAATCACAAACTTACTGCAAAGACTATTATAAAATTATAAATTTTTTAGTTTGAACTTCTAATCAGTGATACCAGCCTCAGAGAAGGAAATTTTTTTGTAAATAATTTTATACCGTTTTTATCAATTTCATTACAATGTGAAGCTTTGTCGGGTTTAGATAAAAACCTGCCGTTAACTTTATGAAGAAACCCACCACGACTTTATCAAACATCTTGCACACTGAGACGGTATTTTACAAAGTTCTTATAAAGCGTACAAAATCCATTCAATAATGCAATTGCAGTTATTTCTTAATATTTTTCCTCTGTCGATATATAACGGGTGTTCAAATGAAAAGGTACGGAACGAGACGGTGGATATATAAATCGGACGGTCTTTATTCACCAGTAATCACCGGAGGCCTAAGCCCACTGTTTCACGAGCCAAAGATTCTCTCTTCCGAGAATTCCTGCAGCTGTGTTAAGTCCCTATCACATATGCTTCCGCTATGTGGGACTGGACTTCGAAAGGCACATTTCTAAAACCTACGTAGCTAGGTTACCATTTTCACTTACTAAACAGACCTTGAACGCCAAACAGTAATCGATTATCGATTAGATTGGGATCGCATGTTCCTTCAGAAGCCGAACTTTCGTCTGATTGGTTGTACCCGGGACAGAGCTGCAGAAGGAACACTTTCGGCGAAGTTTCAAAGTATCTCGCGTAGCCGGAACATCGTTTCGGTAGCTAGGTGGAACTTCGCTTCCAGCGGAGCTGTTTTTTCTAGGAATCCTTCCTTTAACCCTTCAGCCTATAACCACGAGTCTGACTCGTGGTAAAGAATTTGTGCCATAAACAAAAGCCACGAGTCTGACTCGCGGTAAAGAATTTGTCTCATACACAAAAGCCATGAGTCTGACTCGTGGTAAAGAATTTGTGTCATGTACAAAAGCCATGAGTCTGACTCGTGGTAAAGAATTTGTGTCATATACAAAAGCCATGAGTCTGACTCGTGGTGAGGAATTTGTGTCATATACAAAAGCCATGAGTCTGACTCGTGGTAAAGAATTTGTGTCATCTACAAAAGCCACGAGTCTAACTCGTGGTAAAGAATTTGTGTCTAAACAAAAGCCACGAGTCTGACTCGTGCTGAGGAATTTGCGCAAAAAATGCCGCGTGTTATTATTAGAACAAGCGATTGGAGTTATTCTACATCGAATATTTTTCCTTTGATTGTAATGTCACAATTTTTTTTTCAGTTGTTTCTGACAAAACTGTATGATCTGTTACTTTAATTCCGCGTAAAGCTTCGTTACGTTCACATGTTTCAAATATAATTTCCTATAAAGAATTAAAAAGCTCTTATACCCATCATGCCAAACTCTTAACCTCATCATACCCCCATCATGCAATTATTTTTGTCAACTGATCTACGCCCTAGACGTCTTAAAAATTACTATTTGTACTTAAACATTCTTTATTATTTCACAATTCCTTTCGTTACACTGAAATATATATGTCATCAAAAGTATACATACTGCGCCAGTTGGGGTACACGGTTGAACAGTTGACTGGCACGGCGCGGGACCGACTTTCTTGTTTACTATAGTTCACGCAATTGGCAGATATCGTGTAGACCAAGGTGTTAAACCAATGCTACCAAAATCTCGTTTCTTAGAAAAATCCCGTCTAGCGGGAACAGTCGCTAGATGCGATAATCCCTTTAGGAGCCAGTCACTCCCACTTTGCCCAGTTCGACGTCCGAGTTAAAGCGCTTCGCTTTCAGATGTCACTTCTCACCAGGTCGTTCCGCCTTGTCGATGAGTTCGCCCGTGATTACCGTGTTTGCCTGGCCTGATCTCCGGTCATCACTCAAACACTCAGGCGTTCATGAAAACTGACACTCCCACTTTCTGACTTGCCGGACGCCCAGTCTCTCCCGTAAACGGCCGAGCGAGGAACGTCGGCCGGTTTAATCCCAGAGAAGATAACAACTCGCTCCTCCTCATTCCTCGAATTTTGCAATGTAAATGCCATTACACTCACTGCCGCATCCATTGGACTCAACACACAACTGCCTGCGTCTCTCTTGCGCATGCGCACAACCACGCGGGAACCTACATTCGCATTCTTATATGTTTCATTATGTTATACCAAAACGGTATATTCAAATTTCAACCGGTTCGGTTGTTACGACGTTTCGTACTTTGTGATTTGAACACCCCTTATGACTTAAGCATGAGATATGCTATTAACCTGAAGAGATTTCGCATTTTGTATTTTTACTGCTAATTCTTTTTTCTCGTAGCGTTTATTAATTTAATTACTCAAACGCTTTTATTAATTCGCGGAATTGCATGCAGTAAAAGATTCGCTAATAAGTGGTTGCATGATGTTCACTTTTTTGCTGAGGAAGACAATAATGCGTCGCAACGTTGTTGCCAAGATTTTATTAATACTGTTTCTATATAATTGAATAATATTGTCGAAAATCTGATGGCATTCAAAATAAAAAAAATAGCAGCATGAAATTACATTACATGAATTATATATTTCTCCCCCACGTTTCCGGCACTTTCCTCAGCAGTTTTTATGTGGTCGGTACTGTACACTGCGCAGAAAAAATGGCGCAGTTCTATATCTCTCCCGTTCTCCTGGGCCGATTGACGAAATTGAAATTGCGTTTTTCATGTCTCCAAAGCGCGACTTATTATATATATTAGATTTATATCCAGCATTGTTCTAATGTAGTTATTTTGACACAAAATCGGACTTTTTTCTGAAATGACATGCCAATCGTTTTCCATATTTCGGTTCTACGACTCAAATTATGCCTAAATGTTAAGTTTTGTAAAATTTGGTGCGAAATTTACGGAGAAATAAAAAATTTAGCTTGGCGCATTTTTTTCAGTTTTCGCCAAGAATAATTCATTTCTTAATATATGGCAACCTATTTTCCTTTCCTTTTTACACTGCGCACGAGGGGAAAAAGACACATTGTTCCTACTTTCAAATAATTTTAACAAAGTGCCTAAATCTCATTTGATGTTTTACCGCTTTCAACAAATTATACCAAATTTCAAAACGCGCCAATATATAAATTTACATATATCTTCGAAAATTTTGAATAAAAGAGTCTAATTTTTTGCAGGTATGCTTAGAAATACATCTACTTTAAATTTATAGATTTAAAGTAGATGTATTATTTTAAAATACATATTTTAAAAAGTTTATAGATTATAATTTCAAAATCTTTTCGAAAAATTTATAAAAATTATTTTTAAATAAATCATAAAAAAATGGACGAATTTATTCGGAATAAACCTAATTTCGAAATGTGAAAGGAAGAATCAAATGAGTTTAATAAAAAAAACGAGAGATTAAAAAATATATACCAAATTCCATTAACATTGAGGAGCTAAAATTTTGAGAGCCAATTTTATAAAAACTGTAAAATTCCAACCTTTAGGTTACAGCTAAAAATCGGGAACTTTAAGAACTAGTAATCGAATAAAGGCTTAGTTCAAAAAGATAGAAACGTAAACGTACGAAGGGTTAATTACCCTTTATTATTCAAAATAAATTCAACGGTTGACTTCTTCTCGGAGTTTACACCAAAGCCTGCACTCGGGCTTGAACTTGGAATACTAAGAAATAAAGCTTAGCTAAAGAAGATATAGCCGAAGCTATCAAGATGCTACCAGAGTTGACTCCTTAACGCTAACTTAACGGTGAAGCTATCAAGGGCCTAAAGTACGGCCGATCGTAAAAATAGCTTAGAGAGAGAGAGTAGCCTAAAAGGCGAATTCGCGCTGCTTAGAATCTCTGGCTCTCTAAAGAAGTCAGGTGACAGGTGATGGAGGACGGGGGCGCAGTAGAACTTATTCCTTAAATACTTGTTCTTCGTCCATTTGCATTTAACGCGATTTTGAAAACACGTTTTGGCCGCAAACTGAAAGCTGAAATTAAAAAGCGACAGGAAAGTGGTTAAACATTAATTGTATAAGGCAGGATTGGCCAAACTTCATGTCAGTAAGAGATGCACGTTTGAATTCAGGAATGTTCGAAAGCCGCATCTAGAGATTTTCTAAAAGCCACAAGTTCATATTTACATCATTATAGAAGTAGTGGAGGAGGTTTTCAAACAGAAAGAAATCCCTGATAACTTTGTAAAAAGAGTCTAAACTAATTAATTACTTCTTTTTGGACACTGAATAGTTTTAGTTTACTATATTTTATACATATATTTTATATGCACATTCCGCACAAATTGCCTGCGAGAGCCATATCAGGCTCACAAGCCGCACTTTGGCCACCCCTGGTATAAGGTATTTCGGCTAATCTTTGGAATATGGTAACAGGTAGTTTAGCGACATTTTGGTAAGGCGATAAAGGTTACTAGCTAGGACTTTAGCAGTGTACATGGATAAAGTCAAGAGTGTGCGCATTGCCATTTTTGTGCAATTCTGGGATGTTTTTTTTATTAAAAATAGGTCGACGTGTACATGGATACAGTGTATGTGCAATTCTTAAAAACGCGGCAAAAAGTGGTCGATTCTGCACTTTCTCCCAATTTCGCACCTAATCTTCGTCATGATTAAGCACTTTTCTCCATAAAAGTTCTAGCATAAGCGTAATTCGGCTAGCATATTGTTGGGAAAAAAAATGTTAAGTAAAAAAAAAAAATGCCTTTACTTCGTGAAAACAAAATGGCGCCCAAAACAAAACTAGCAGATTGCTGTAGCAGGGTTGGTCGCCAAATTTTAGCCAAAACACCGCAAGTTACCATAATCCAAAGATTAACCGGTATTTCTCCCACCTTCTTTGCGTGCCTTCGGGGTGTGGTGGTCTGCACACTGGGTCGGTATTCGAGAGGTCTGTAGTTCGATTCCCGGCGAAGGCGTTGGTAATTTTTCATCTTGCCTGCTTCCAAAGATACGTAACGTCTCTACAGTGGCGCCCGAACTAAAAGGGTGTTGGATGATGATTCTCCTCAACCAGGATTTGGCGATTGGGTCTCCTAAAATAAAACCCCAGTTGCCCTTTAAAAGGGGGAATGTATAAGATATTTCTCCCACCTTCTTTACGTGCCTTTATCGTGTGGTTTTCTGCACACTGGGCCGGTATTCCAATGGTCCGTTATTCGATTCCTGGCGAAGGTGTTGCTAATTTTTCATCTTGCCTACTTCCAAAAATACCTAATGTCTCCACAACTGTTAAAAACGTAGAATAAGCCTTACAAAACTGCTCGTGCGATTTTTAGCATAATTTGAGTCGTAGAATCGAAATATGGAAAAAAAATTGGCATGTCATTTCAGAAAAACCGACTTTGTGTCAAAACGCCTATGTTAGAACAGTGCTATATATAAATCTAATATATATCCCAAGTCGCGTTTTCGAGACATGAAAAACGCACTTGGAATTTATTCAATCGGCCCAGCAGAACGAGAGATACAGAAAATTGTCCTTTTTTCTTTTTTTCGCAGTAACAGTGTACTTTGCTTACTGTGGGTGTCATTGCTGTGTACTTTGCTTACTGTGGGTGTCATTTTCGCAGTAACAGTGTACTTTGCTTACTGTGGGTGTCATTGCTGTGTACTTTGCTTACTGTGGGTGTCATTTTCGCAGTAACAGTGTACTGCGTTACTGTGGGTGTCAGTGTGTGTACTTGCTGTGGGTGTCATTTTCGCAGTAACAGTGTACTTTGCTTACTGTGGGTGTCATTGCTGTGTACTTTGCTTACTGTGGGTGTCATTTTCGCAGTAACAGTGTACTTTGCTTACTGTGGGTGTCATTGCTGTGTACTTTGCTTACTGTGGGTGTCATTTTCGCAGTAACAGTGTACTTTGCTTACTGTGGGTGTCATTGCTGTGTACTTTGCTTACTGTGGGTGTCATTTTCGCAGTAACAGTGTACTTTGCTTACTGTGGGTTATTGCTGTACTTTGCTTACTGGGTGTCATTTTCGCAGTAACAGTGTACTTTGCTTACTGTGGGTGTCATTGCTGTGTACTTTGCTGTGCTGTGGACGTCTGAAAGAGCATAAACATTGGGGATGGCAAAAATGAAAAAAAATCAGTATTCCTGTACCTGTTGAAATAAAACATACTTTTATTTATTTGAGTTGTGACATAATTAAATTGACACCTATTTGTGTAAGTGAATATGTCTTCATCAAGGATTTTAAGAATATCTGGCTTATACTTCGATTAGAAAAATGCCGGCTTCATATGTTAACAATTTGATTTCTGGTAAAAATTCACACCCGAAGTGAACTTTTACTTATTTTGTATAACCTATAAATTTTATGGCGGCTACATTTCTTGATACCAAATTCCATTGCCCTCGAAAGATTTTTATTATTGCATAAATTCGCAAAATTAGCATTCAAATTAAGTTTTAAAATCAAATAATTAATAGCTTGAAATTAAAAAAATTAAATTCCTTAGCATGTATTCAGCAAACCTCAACATGGGCCCGTTTACCTTGCTCTAAGATTCTCCAAACTTTGGCAAATTAAGATGTTCCACAACGCCTGACACTGATTTCTTTGGTTTGGTTTAGTTGATTATGGTAATATTTGTCTAAAGGAAACTGGACTGACACTGAACAACGCCTGACACTGATTTCTTTGGTTTGGTTTAGTTGATTATGGTAATATTTGTCTAAAGGAAACGGCTTTCTAAAGGAAACTGGATGACAAACGCATTACACATAGAGAAAGCTACGCAAGCTCCCATGCAGCCAGCCCGTTCGCGTGGAATCTAAACAAGGTGGGAACTACCAGCGTTCAGCGATTTCCAGTTCGGCCGCTGATGGCCACGGCTTTCTTTGGACTTCAGCAAAACATTTCTCTTTCTTTCCCATTAACTGCCAAATTTTTCCCTCTCAATTTACATTTATTTCTGGGTGTCTAGATTGACCTAGCGACTGGAAATTGGTATACAGATGGAATCAGCCATTTTGCACAAAAGGGGAAGTTAACACCAAGTCGGGCTATATTACCTGGCAGCTTCTTTGAGCACCTTAACATGTTTATACAGACTTCCTCGGACCAACCCACCGAACAGCCCGCAGGGACTTCTCATGTTCATCGTCACAATCCATCATACTGAGGGCTGCGCGGGGAGCCGTCGCGATGGCTGGATGGCCTTATCTACAAATTAATCATTCTGGGATTCCCAGAAGTCATCATAACAACACTTCGCTCCTATCTAACCGATAGATATTTTATCGTTCGTATCAATCAAACACTCTCCACTAAACGAATTATCCGCGCGGGCACGTCTCGCTCCCTTTATATTTAATTTATATACGAACGATATTCCACACATGCATAACACAACACTCGCTACGTACGCGGACGTTACAGCGATCCTCGCACAAAATGCATCTCCTAGCTCAGCTATCCAACAGCTACAAACACACATACATGCACTTGAACTCAAGCTCTCTCAGTGGAAAATTAAAGTAAACATCAACAAAACTGTTGCTGTCATATTTTCCAAAAAAAAAAAAAAGGAAAATTGAAGGAAATCTAGCGTTCTACAATACTCCCATCCCTTGGGCCAAGGAAGTCAAATACCTAGGCATTGTACTTGACCAGAGACTCACACGGAAGCCCCACATTAAACACATAATTACAAAGTTTCGAGTCAGTAAAATAACACTTCACCCCCTAATCGCTCGAAACAGCCTTTTAGCACTAGACCAAAA